TGTAGCTGTTGCAAATGAGTCTACCGATGAGATAGAGCCGGTACTGCCTCTGCGAGAATGCCTTCCAATCTTACTGGAAGAGGTCACGTTGGTGGATGCAACTGGTCCTCGGGTCGTCTCTACCGAGTCTTCGGAGCTAAAACTCCCGCGGCTGCCCTTGCTTCTCATCCTACTTCGGCTCATACTACCCATTGCACTGTGCAGGAAGAAATGTTCGTAGTCGAAAGCATCCTCACGATCCTCATGAGAAACCTGGTTTTGGACGGAATCGTAATATGAAGACGCGCCACTCTCGCTTGCACTATCATCTACCAGGATCTGTTCGTCCTCCTCTTCTAGCTCCACTTGTTCCTGCTGTTCCTCGTCATTCTCTGCCCCGTCACTGTCATCGTAACCATCCTCTGTTTTCATATCAAATTCATCCTCTACTTGGTCGATTATTAATGGGCCGTCATTTTCAGGTGAATAAGAGTTGCTTTCGATACCCTTTGACTGTATTGGAATGATTTCCTCTGTGGAGATCTCCTTCGGGACCTGCGCTCCATCAGTCTCGAGTACCACACGTTTCGCCGCCAAATGCCCCTCGTTAACATCGATAGTGGAAACATCGTCGTTCGAATGCTGCGACCGATAACCGCTATGAACAGAACTGTCGTCCTCATATTGCGCCGTATCAGCATACCACTGATCAACCCGAGCGTGCGTGAAAGGACTAGGTGTTCGCAGGTTCTGGATACTTCGACGCTTTAAACTATCCGCTCGGGCTTGGTCTCTTAGTGTAGACAGTCTTCCTTTGAGGTCTTTCATTTGGTCTTTTAGATCTCGCATTTGTGCTGTCGACGCAGATCGTTTTAGCCCCTTGTCTGTGAAAGACCCAAAAGTCGGACTTAGGAACGCATCTGATCTCGAACCCTCCAAATTCGATCTTGATGAATCTACATCTTGCGAGGCATCATCCTCGCTTAACGGTTCGAGGTTAGACTCTTTAGCGTAGAAAGATGATTTAGCACCCTCATTGATGTAATCCGCGCTACGAGGGCTGTGGAGAGGTGGTCGATATCCACCTGCTGCGCCCAAGGCACTCGAAGATCTCGGGACAAACACACCCGGCTTAATCACATCAAGAGGAAGGGTAGGGATATTATTCTCGCTAGATACTCTTGTGTGACCATGCCCGCTCTTGCGGCGAGAAGAATCGTGATCACGGTGGACTGCAGTTGTAGGCCGAGACATGGTAGGTGAAGCTGTTGAACCTGAATCAGTGGATATGGTAGGGGAGTGAAGGGTTCGTGCCCGGTTCAAATTTCCTTCCATGGTCTATTATGTGTCAGATAAACAAGAAGATCAACTATAATTCAAGGGTACTTACCGTCAATCGTCGTTTAGCATTTGCTAATATCTGTTCCGCTCTCCGACTCAGTGCAGTTGAGTAGCGCTCCTCTCCAATTCTAGCCCGGACCTCACTACTTGGCAAGATATGTCCCTGAACGGATGCATCGTCGATGAAAGAATCGGCAACACTTTCTTCGTCATCACCTTGAAAGTTGCTGTCGTCGACACTGACAGTATCGTCAAAGTCGGCAAATAATGCAGCTTGCTCGTGGGTAGTAATGGTACTGGTCGAGTCCATTGATGCTCGCCTTTCGCGAGAAAGTTTCGAGTCCTTCTTCTTCAGCGTCTCGTAATGCATCATGGATGCCGGTTGTATCGAGTCGTCACTGTGCGTAGACCCGGACCGTGCCTTATTCGGAGGGCAGGTGCTCTCAACCTCTGTAACCTCGCCAATATCCGAAAGCATCGTCCCGTTTCCATATATGATGGGAGTAGTAGGGGTGACGGGCCCTGTGAAGGCCTGGGGAGTAAGATCAAAGCTCATACTAGCAACTTGTGTATTCTTCCACATAGTCAAAGGCGATTGTGATCTGTCTGGGGAAGAATAGGTATCTTCGTAATCTGGTAATATCATATCCGGGTTTGTCAGCGTAGGCGACGCCGGCAGAGGTGGATAAGACATAGAGCCGGAACCCGATCCCGAGGCCTGGGCCTGGGCCGGCGGAGTAGTAACCGTTCGCGTTGGCAACATGAGGTCGGTTAAATATCGTACTAGATATCGTAAAGGTTTATCGTTCGCGCAGGGCACCGACGAAGAGTATTCGCGAAAAACTTAGTGAGGTGATGATGATTAGAGCAGAGTCTAGCAGAAGCAGGTGACAGATTAAGACAGCCTGCAGGCTGCGATTAGCCGCACCGCCTTTCGCGGGCAGATGCGAGCGGATCAATTAGGTTGATACCGGTGTATCCAAAGTACCCCCAAGGAGCAAAAGAGCAAAAGAGCTTGTGCAAATTCGTAACCTCGTAGGACTCGAGAGTAAATCAAAGCGATATTAGGTTGCGGCGGGTATCGAATCACATGTAAGCTCAATTCAGGCAGAGTAAGGTTCGTTCGGACAAGCAATTGCGAAACCGCGAAACCTTAACATGAAATTGAAAGTCGTTATAGACGAAGTCGGTATTAGTACGAATTTTCGAACATTTATTCATTCGATTCATTCGAAGGCCGCGGCTTGACGAATACCAAGGATTGTCATAGCGAAAATGACGGGAAAAGCCGATATCAGTATTTTTTTCCAATCTCAATATCCAGAAGTATTAATTGCCGTGTTCTTCACTCCGAATTCGAAGTGCGCGGATAGTGATGGTGATGGTGATGGTGATGGTGATGGTGGTGATGGTGCAGGTGGTGATGTCGATGTCGATCGATTCGAGTATCCTCTTCCCTGATCAAAATCGTAGTCGCACCGGCGTTCCCGTCGGGTGTCTGGAGGGCAATTGTATGTAATTCGGAGTGCAAGCAAAGGAGCGCGAGGCTATTGGGTTGAACCTAGTAGGTAACTTAGGTAGTATGTAGGTACTATACGTGTATACTTCACGTAGTGTATATTAGCGCAACTACTTTAATTGGACACTTTAATGCTGCTCGTACCTGACCAGAAGCCAAGCTAGCTCTAGGGTGGTCCTAGTTGATTAATTGACTGTCTAACACGGTGGAGAACACCTGAAATGACGAAACCTCCTTTTGGTTGTCGGATCACCCAGGCCCTAAATCTTTTAGCATAAGCCGGCGTTACACCTACCGGCTTTGGATTGCCAGATAGCAAGAGCTTCGTGCTTTTTAATGCCAAGGTTTTCTGTAGGTTAGGTGGTTTAACAAAAGCCGGAAAGAAATTCAAATAGAGGAAAAAGACACCCACATTATTATAGTGTTATAACTAGGTATTTAAAACCAACAAGGACGAAGATTAGGTAGGCTAAAGTGTGTTCGGTAAAAGCTCCATGCATAGCAAAATGAATAATAAACCTGGTTTATTCATTCCATCAGCCCAAGGAATAAGCTTCCACATTCATGCACGCACAGTAAGCTAGGATCCTCAAAATTTGCAAAAATTCCCGTGATGCTGTGATTGTGAATAAGGGGTAGGAAACAGACGTGCAATAGGACGACGAGATATGCTATGTATTGACCCCTTGTCACGTTTCAATGCCGGCATGCAGAGACGGCAAGGCCCATCTTTAATTGTGCTAGGTATAGTATGTATATGCAAGCAATCTATAATCTGGCACGTACAGTTGCTATGAAGTAAGGGGACCGCTGTCACATACTTTATGCAGATAGAAAAGACGTGCGACAACAAGGCTCACGAGACCGATCATCAGCATTATGGTGATCAATCTGCACTATTGACAATACCCAATTACATACCCATAATTGCATGAAAAGAAGCCTAGAATGGAAATCGGCGGAATTCCCGACGCATTGGGACGGACCGCTTTGACACTCTAATAATATCGTACCAGTAAAGACAAGATTGGTTCAAGGCTCTTTGCCTTTTCGCGACTCGACATTTGCACCGTTTCATGTTTCACGAATGGAGAGTGGAGACTCAAATATGCGCTATTCCATAAACAGGTAAAGTACCTTAACCTAGGTACCTACATAGGTAGGTAGGTACCTATGTACCTAGGTTAGGTGCACAATTAGATATCGCTTTAAAAGAGGAGTTTATATAATAATAATTTTCTGAGCTCGCTCATTGGCCTGTGGAGCCAAACTATGAGCCCCATATTTACTTTATCGTGGGAATTTTCACAGCAATTTTAACAACACTCTTTCACATTGCTCCGAGTTCGACTTCTCATGATTTTTGCATGAGTTCCTTCTACCAACGACTTAAACAAGTCATAATTCACTAAGACCTGCTCAACATGTATTCCATGCCATGTTCCATGCCAGCTGAGGTAACGGAGAGCAAACAGATAATATTGCTGTGTTGGCTCCTGTCTATGGCTGGCTCAACATTGACGAGCATCCGGGCATCTTGACCTAACGTATCTAGGATATTCACCAGCTACCAACTCGCATTCCTTTTGATGTAAGTGCATTCTTAAAGTCATCTGATTTTTTTCTCTTTAATCATCAATCACTAAGTGATGAGCAATACCAAGAATTCTGCAATGCTTAATAGCGGCCTCTCCAGGCTTGCTAATCTGTGGAGACTTTCTTGCCTGATAGTGGTATCCGTCAACATACAAATCTTATTCTTACAGCATTGGTAAACTGACCATAAGAATAGGTCTCTGAGAGTATTGAATTATTGACAGGCGAGGATTTGGAGATACATGAGGTATGCAGCATAAGTCAACCAAAGTAGCGATTAAGCCCTAGGAGATGAACATTTCTAGGTATTTCAATAAAACAAACTCTTAGGAAACTCTTCAAAAATATGCAATAGCAACGGGCGTGAACACAATAGTAGAGAAGAGAACGAGAAAAAATGTGGCCACCAAGGGAATCGAACCCTTGCATCTAAAGTCAATCCACTCGAACATTGATACACAGAGGTAAATGTACAAGTTGAATACACTACTAGAACACGGCCAGTGTGGCCTTTGTTAGATCTTTGGAAGCACAACTATTATTGTGGTTTATACTTATGCACACAGGTAGGTAGAGATGTACAAACATTTGACAGCTAATATAATATGGGATGGAGCAGTGTTTGTCATTTGGCGTTTGACGTTGCAAGAGCAACAATACCATCAAGGTTCTAAATCCCTTCCCATCCTACCATTCTAGATTTACGTGTTAACAGGGACGACGTCCGGGTACCGGTTACCGCGAGGCTTGATTTTGGAGAGTGCAGTATCAATCCGAGCCATCTCCTCGTCCGAGATATCCACTTGTACGGCGTTCTCGTTGACACGGGCCGCCGTCGTGGCACCGGGGATCGGAATAATGGTCTTAGGAGCGCCTTTACGCCAGGATGATAGGCGAATGGTCCAGTTGATAGCTAGCTGGGCTGGTGTGACACCCTTCTTCTTGGCCAGCTCCTCGACCTGCGACGCCAGCTGCAGGTTGGCCTCGAAGTTGCCCGGCTGGAACCACGGCCAGGACCGGAGCTCCGGCTTCACGTCATCCAGCGATTTGATCTGGCCTGTCAAGAAACCTCGGCCAACGGGCGAGTAGGCGATTATCGGGATGTCGTACTGTGCGCAGGCGTCGGCTACACCGTTGTCGAGGATTTCCCTACTGAATCTTCATAGGTCTGTTAGCTCGCCGTTTCTGTTATGTTGAGGAGCGTCTTCGTAATCTTGGTAGTATGCACATACAGCGAGAGTTCAACCTCGACCCCCACGACTTTCGTTACCTTCACGGCCTCGTGGATCGTCTCGGCTCTAACCTCGGAAAGCGAGATGCCCCCAATCTTGCCCGTTTGGATGTCTAATACATGTCAGTCTATTTTCGAGAACTCTCGGTCTGCACAGGGGTAACAGAATCGCTAATTTGGAATCTGGGAGCTAAGTAAAAGACACAAAGGGGTCAAAGACTCACACTCCTTCTCGATAACTCCAAAGGTCACACTTAAAGGCACTTTGGGGTCACGGCGCGCAAATTCGAAGATGTCGATCTTCTTGCGACCCTTAAGTTGGGCAATGCAGTTGTCGATAGATCGACGGGTGCCCTCGGGTGAACCATCAGGTCCAAGTCCGTGGGAGTCCATGCCGCCTTTGATACTAAGCACGACCTTTTCGGCGTCCTCGGGGTACTTCGCGAAGTAACGCTCTAATAGTACGAGAGAATTGCGCTCGTGCGGTCCGTAGAACTCGCCGCCGTTCCAGAAGTTCATCCCATTTTTCAGCGCGGCCTTCATCGCTTCGAAAGCCTTCTCGTCCGAGATAGGTTCCGTCCTCCAGGTCATGCCCATCAACCCATATCCCGTAGGGCCGATTTTCTTTCCAACTAGTGTAGGCATGTTCGCTTATTCGTCTGTTCTTTCTTTTGGGGGATGTCGATGAGTCTCTGAAGAGCTTGTAGGTCAACTGTGAAGGTTTAAGAGTTTGATATGATTCATATCTCGTTGAGTTATCGCGGCGACGAGGCCTTTTATATCAAATTTCCCTGTCCTCGGGACATTGAATAGATTCCTGTCTGGCTATTATGGTAGCAGTGGTAGCACATGTATCCTACGTCAACAGTACGGTTTTTGCGGGACGGCTTTAGTATCTCGGCTTTCCAATACCTCCACAAGCAAAACTCCGACAATTCTAGCCCCTTGCTTTAGAGAGAGATTAAACTACGCAATCTTTTATATATTAAGCTTCCGTAATGTATTCTGGTTTGTCAAGTTCGTCACATAGACCATACCGAAGATCACGCACCCCCACCACACGCAGTTATTGTATGTACCATCACCACGATAGCCCTTGCGGCTTTAAGAGAGAGCCAGATTATTCGTTATTATATACGGTGCCTTTACATATCTATCAACCTATTATTCAAATATTAAATATCATTCAGCCTTGACTTAATAAAGCTCCTGTTAGATTTTTACTGGCTTTATACTAAAAGGTAGATATATCGATGTGAGTCCATCCCAAATGCTTGAGTACATCTATCAATTTGTTCGGCGTTAAGGATACAGGTTGACGAAAAGTTATTATTGATGGGAACCGGGGACCACAGATCCCCTATGGTTTAACGATAACCTTAGTTATTATACTTTACTTAAACCTTCAACATAATCACGTAATGTTAACATGTATCATTACGCAAAATACTCTTCTCAGATTCCTTGTAGTTCAAGTGATCCAGGTCGTACGAGGACCGAATAATCTACCCACCTACCCACCTACCTACCTAAGGTAGTTTAATTCTTTATAACATCATAGGTTAACTATCCTTTATTAGTAGACGACGTTTTAAGTTCTGCTCTGAGTTTTGAAGCCCAGGATATAGCCGAGTCTCAAGTATACGGCCCAAGTAATAATCACATGAAACAAGCGTATACCAACATGATGCGAGGTAGTAATACTTGATGATATTCCCCGTGAATCCGACCATGGGCGGATTTTACGCCAACGGGTTTACGAGATCCGTACTAAGCCCGCCATAGGGAATCCACAGCTCATTTTTTCTGCATCCCCTGCAGATATTGTTGCCAACCCACGGATCGTATCCTCTCGTCCTTAGCTAGCACCTCATTTTTCATATTGTCCTGGTAGCGCTTCATACGCTCCGCGTATTCTGGGTACGCGCTACCTAAAATCCGGATCGCGAGCAGCGCGGCGTTGGTTGAGTTCCCAATTCCGACTGTAGCACAGGGTATGCCCCTTGGCATCTGTACGATGCTGTGCAAACTATCGACACCATCTAGCACCGATGCCTTCACAGGAACGCCTATTACTGGAATATGCACTTCAGACGCGAGCATACCCGGCAAGTGTGCAGCACCCCCTGCTTCCGATATTAGTAAAGACCCCATTCGGTGATTCGGTGGACGATTAGGGATAATGAATATGTGGGTTATGTATGTAGGTTATACTCATCGGTTCTGCCATCTAAGGCAGGTTTCACATATCGAGAGTGGTTTATAATGAACATGAGAAAAATTTAGGTACTAACCTGCTGCCGCAATGATAACCTTACAGCCGGATTTTGACATTTCCGCTGCGAATTTCATCATATGATGTGGTGTTCGATGCGCCGACGTTATACGGACTTCGTAAGGCACATTGAACTCATCTAAAATCTTCAAACCGGCTGTCATGGTGGTTAAATCCGAATCGGACCCCATAGTTACAGCGACTAAAGGCACAGATTTCGCTTGTGATGTTTTTCTCTGCGCTGGGCTCTTCGAGCCAATACGTTCAGCTCGAATCTCATCCATAACACTAATGAGAGGGGTTATGATCTCAGCTAGACGTTCAACGGAGGAGAACCCCGTGGCGGTTATATGACCTATTTTCCGCCCCGGCTTCGATTCCTTCCCGTAAAGATGTACATATACATCCGTAAATTCATCGTACGTACTCTCCGCAAGCGCCACGAATCTATTGTGAGAAGTCGGTTGAGCACCGCCAAGGATATTAAGCATAATTGCGGAAGGCACTCGCGCGTTGAGATTTGCGCCTTTCTGCGGGATAAGGTCCAGTATGGAGTATAGTTGAGCCTTATATTGCGACAATTGAGGTACGGCCTCAACTATAAGGTTCATAGTTAGTAACCACTCACTAGGAAAGTCCTAGAAGAGATCAAGGCTAATAAAGGGTTGTTAAAGGGCCCTCAGCTTATAATTGGATGTGAAGACGAAATATAGGGGTGAATAACGAGTGGGGAATACATACTGGTAAAATGACCGGAGTTGTGCGGACGTGGAGCGACCTCGTTCACCAGAATCTGACCGTCAGCGAGTAAGAACATCTCTACAGCGAAGACTCCTCGACCCCAAAGACTGGCTATAACATCGCTTGCTACCTTTTGCGCTCGCTTTTTGACGTCTTCTGGTATACTCCGTGGCGGATAGAACACCTTGGTGCATATGCTATCTTCGTGTATGGTCTCGACAACTGGATAAGAATAAACGTGCTTTAACTTGCCGTTGTCATCCTCTGTCCGTAGTACCATGACCGAGAGTTCCATTTCGAAAGGCACCCATTTTTCTGCATATAGAGGCTGGTCTCCCATCTGCTCTGAAACATTCTTCAAGTCTTCCGGACCGCTGACTTTGAAATTTCCACGGCCATCGTACGAACCTTTGCTACCCTTTAACATAAAAGGGAACCCATATTTCCAAGCTGCCTCATCCAAAGAATCAGCTTTGCCCTCTCCAGACACTATAGCCATCTGTTCAGTGACAGGAATACCGTTCCGAGCGAAGTATTCCTTCTGTCGATACTTGTCTTGTATTAAGCGTATGGTCTTCCATGACGGATGCACGGGTACTTTCTTCAATATTGTACCGTTCCCATCAGGCGAAGGTACTTCTACACCTTTCGTCGCTATTTCTTCTAGCACCTCCGTCTCCACATGCTCGATCTCAACCGTGAGGAAGTCAACACGGGAGGCGAGGAGCTTGATCTTCTCCGGGTCCTTGAAAGATCCAGTAACGTGAAGATTGTTTTGGTTAACCTGTTTTGCCGGGCAATCTTCAGCGTCGAGGACAGCAATAGGTATTCCTAAGGGCCCGGCTACTTCACAGAGCATACGCCCAAGCTGACCACCCCCTAGAAGCCCAATAACAGGCTTCTTTAACGCCATTGTAAGAGAAGGTATGATGGTATAGGAAATTGGAATAATTAAACATCACTTACAAGTAATGAATGAAAAACCCCTCCAAGATGTAGAAATTATTGATAATAGCGGGGCCAAGTTTACAATATAGAATTATTACAAGGGCTTAATTGCATATTTTAGCTTGCTACCCCTCCATCCCTCCACTCTTCTGTCCCTCTGTCCCTCTATCCCACTACCCCACCAAGATCACATCTCTTTTTAATTTGTACAGCAAGGTTCTTAGCTTCAGATTTCAACTGTTCAAGAACATCCATATATTAGCACATGCTAACGTAATGCAAGTCAAATTCATGAAGCAGCAGGTCACGATGTAATTTTCGACTTTAGCATATTAGGTCCACCTCAAATAAGAGTCACGCTATTGGTATATAACCACATACAAAACATATCTGTCGCAACATGTTCCACCTCAAATCCCAACGCGTACGCAGGTGACAAAAATGGACTTCAAAGAAAACGGAGCTCAGCTCCCCCAGCCCAAGATCCAGTACGCCCCATCTTGCCTCGCCTCATCCTTACATATCCTATCTAACATCTCTCCCCAGCCCCCTCAAGCTCTTCGACGCAGCCAGATCCCAGAAGCGACTCTTATACGCCTGCGCGCCCATGGTTCGGTACAGCAAGCTCGCCTTCCGGCAGACGGCGCACCACTTCGGCACAGACCTATGCTGGACGCCCATGATCCTAGCCAAGGAGTTCAACCGGAGCCCCGTGGCGCGCGACAGCGACCTGACCGTCTCGTCGACCGCCGACGAGGTCCCGACCATAGCCCAGTTCGGCGCCAACGACCCCGTCGAGCTGTCGCGCGCCGCCTCCCTCGCCGCCCCCTTCGTCAACGGCGTCGACCTCAACTGCGGGTGTCCCCAGAGCTGGGCTTGCGCCGAGACCCTGGGTGCCGCGCTGATGGGGCGCCGCGAGCTGGTGCGCGATATGGTGGTTGCGACGAGGGAGCGGCTCGCGCGCGACGGGTGGGGTGTAGATAGTTTCGCCGGTGGCGGTTCCGGTTCCGATGTTGACGGTCGCGTGGGCCGTAGCGTCAGCGTTAAGATTCGAGTACATAAGGACCTGCGACAGACGGTAGACTTCATCACTACCGTCTTGGGGGACGAGCACCACCGGAACATCGATTGGCTCACCATTCATCCGCGCACGCGCAACACCCCCAGTAGTATACCTATTAACGTCGAGGCGCTCGAGACGCTCACCTCTATGTTCGGCACGAAATTGCCAATCCTCGTATCCGGCGACGTTTTCACCTTGTCAACACTTCCATATACGTCTCACCTCTTAGACCCCCAGCCCACATTCACCACCACCTCCTCCAGCGATCCGTCCTCCGGTACAACCAGCAACAACTCCTCCGAGTCCAAACTCCACTTACCCAACCTATCCGGCCTCATGTCCGCGCGCGCACTCCTCGCAAACCCGGCGCTCTTCGCCGGGTACGATGCCTGTCCCTGGGAGGCCATTGACGTATTCATGAACAACGTGGCACGAGCGCCGCTGCCCCTTAAACTGGCGATACACCATTTAAACGAGATGTGCGGGCCGGGCTTCGGCCCCGACCGCAATGCCGCCCTACTGTCCAAGAAGGAACGCATACGTCTTAACGAGATAGGCAACTGGATCGACGTTATTGACTATATGGACGAGATCAAGAGTCGGCGTGGAGGGAAGGGCGGCGTCGTGCGATTGACTTGAAAATTTGGGCGTTATAAAGCGGATAGACAAAATAGATAGGTACGTGTATGTTTTTTGGAAGGAATCCAATACCCATTGTGGCGGATGCTGCTCTATGGTAATCGAACTCATGGTAAGTATAGCATCAATAAACTAGGTTAAAGCATTCGAACAAGATGAAAGATAGCAACTATGACTTATGCATTCAATAGCTCGAAGCCTATCAAAATATCCGGTATCACTTAGCTACCCCTTCCCCTTAAGGAGATAGATACCTCTGCTACAAATCCCCTCACATGCAATGCACCTATGCGTCCATTCTACTGTACAGTAACCTGGCCGTAGAACGTAATGTAACAGAGGTATCGGAGACCTAACCTAGAAGAAAATAAAACGGCACCGCGCCGCCCCCTCGCCTCGAAAGAAGTCAGAATGTGCCGCGATTAACTCCGATGTTGCCCTTGAGCCGAGAACGCCGCATGCAGCCCTGAGGCTCTTGTAGGAAACAAGAAAAAAAGAACCAAATCAGGTATTTCCGAACGCATTGCCTTTTTCTCCCTTAGTCCGGCAGATTTACCCCTATAACCTTAACCAGTACGTGAATCATATTACAGATTTGGTGGTAGTAGTGATAGAGACCCAAATCGTGCCGACTATCCAAATGTAGAAATCTGAACCGGAATAGGTACCTAGGCTTGTTTCGTAATATAGTAACTTGGAAAATATATGGGTTCCGCGATACTCGAAAACGCGTAAAAAGCGGTTTAAACGTTATTCATCGTCCGATGCTGCATATCCTGAGTCAGATTCACCTGCTCCTAAGGCCACAGACTCAGGCACAAGTTCAAACTCAGACTCAGACTTAGGTCGTTCCTCTTCCCCTTGATTACACTCTTCCGACTCATCGTCCTGTGATGATGCAGTTCTCTATTCATACACCTCACCCTCGTCGTCATCCGAGCTAAGACGTTGCCGTTTCGGGTCTCGGCTCTCTGATGCGAGCGATTCGACTTCTTTCCGCTTAGTACCATTAGTCCCTGGATGGAGACCAGGATTATTCGCTGCTTCCTTCAAGACGAGGTCTGAATCACCGGGGGCAGCCTGGGAGGCGGACTCGGCGGCGGCCGTGTCAATTTCTCTTTCTGCAGCCGCTTCGTCAACACTGTTAACTTTGCCCCTGGGGCTCTGGGTAGCACTATCGGTTCTAGGGGTGCCATTAGTTGAACGTATATCGATGTCCTCGCCTCTTCTTCGAGTACTATCGAGGATGAAGACAGGAGACTGCGAATATGGATTCTCCTGCTTGCGTAGGGGGTTCTCGACGTAGAAGTCTTTGAGAACAAGTATTGCCTTAGCACAGTTATCCTCGTTGCCATTTAGCGCCTTCCACCATGCCTCGCCGTTCACGTCTTCTATCCGCTCCCCAGTGAAAACGCTGGAGAAGAAGATAGCTGCGATGGCGATATCCCGCGCGTCCATGAGAAGTGGCAGGGTGGTTAGGCACGAGTCGTTTAAGAAGGCCCAAGCGGCATGTCGTAGGTTCTTGTTGTGGATCGACTGTAGTTGACCAAGGAAGTCGTATAACTTAAAGTGCGGGCTTTCAATCATGAGGTCGAAGGTTAAGTTCTCGAGCATGACCTCCTCAAACATGAGGATACTGTCACGCCATCTCCAGTATTCTTTAGACTGCTCATCTACGATGAGCTTAACATTCTTCTGTGCGACTTTTGCAACTGCGATAATAATGTCTTTAGTCTTGCGGCAGTTCTCTTCCGTCTTGTTCGCTAGGAAAAGCGCAGTCGCGGCGATGTTCTGTACCAGGCACAATTAGTGATGTCTTTTTTGTCGGATGGGTTGGCTTGGTTTATTGGTAGACTCACATAGTGGTGTATCCCGTGTTTTTCCTCAACCATGCTGCATCTCATGAAGAATCGGTGAAAGAATACGCCAGCGACGTAGAGGGTGGTCTGAGGAAGTTCGAGTAGAATGCCAGCTTGGTATATAAAGTTGACGCCTTTTGCTCGCCTTAGCCTCTCCTCTTGTGGCGACAATCCATCCAAGATGCTAGGGCTACTAAGGACCTCATCCTGGCTGAAATACCATTGATTCGGCATGGTGAGGGGTGTCCTAGTTGCTGAGCGGGTGGGAGATGGCGCGCTTCGTCGCGACTGTGGTCTCGGAGGAGATGTGCGCGACGAGTTCGTAGGTGGTGAAGGAGCTGGGGGAGGTATGTCGCGTCTTCTAGATGGCGACTTTGAAGAACTATTAAGACTGGTTTTGCTAGAAGGTGCAGGTGGAAATTGATATGATTCCCGTTGAGGAGGTCGGTATCGATCGATGCTCGCCATTGCGTTGTGGCCCGTGGCCTGTGGGTTGTGGGGAGTTGAGCGAAGCAATTGCAAGCTTCAAAGTTCCCACGGCGATTCAAACCTTACCTAAGGTAAGTCGCCTAAAGGAACCCTTTTTTTAAGTATAGTTAATTGACGAAATCATCTCTTCTGTAGTTTCTTCTTGTATTTCCGTTAAAGTTGAGATTCTGCTAGGTTAGATACCTAGGATAGGTAGGTGTGTAGGAGTAAAAAGAAAGAATTAATACAAAGAAATAGTTGGATGGTAGGATGGCAAGATGGAGATGAGATGGTAATGGTAATCTGAATGGTTGCTATCAGATCGCCCTTGCTTCTCTATCGGATTCGTCACTGAACCCATAGGCGTGGGTCCAACTAATTCTTAATACCTACATGTATGAGGTAGGCACCCCCTATGTATACATTCTGAGGTTAGTACCTGATACAGTAATAGTATACTCTACACACAGTGTAAACTATACTGTACAGTACATAATTCACCATCTCGAGTCTTTCTCCTCGATATATATTATATACAGCAAGATCATTTTTATTGGGTATCTTCCGAGCTTTACTTGTATTTCCTTTCCGTCATCAACCATTCCCCTAATACAATTTGCTAAATTCTCTCTCCATCATTTCGACCCCACAACTTAACTGTTCTATCGTGTCCGCCACTGACAATCCATCTCGCATCTCTGCTAATATCTACACTCGAAACCGGCCCAGTATGTCCTTCCAGCGTCTGTATGAGAGTCCAGTCATCGGCAGAAAATATGTTAACCTTACGGTCAAATCCGCTGGAGACGAAGAACGTGCTCGATTTCTTGGGGAGTTGGTTTCCCTTCTCGTCGAGGCCTGGAGGGGTGCCTAGGATAGGATCATCTAACCCTTTGTACCATCTGAGGTCCGAAACTGCACTGGTATGAGCTCCAATACCGCCGGTCCTCTGGACTTTTCTTACGTCCCAGCATTTGATCCAACCGTCTGCCGACCCGGTTAAAACTCGATAACCATCTGAGCCCCAATCGATGCCATGGATAGGCTTGATATGCCCGTCTCCATGTCCATCTAGAATCATGACTGTTCTTCCAGACCTTAAATCCCATATTCTACCGATGCTATCCAAGCCTGCACTGGCCAGTAGCGAGCCGTCAGAATTAAAGCTGATAGCGAAGACACCTCTCGAGTGGCCTTCTTGTAGTAGTAACTCCGTTGTCGACTCTACATCCCATAGGCGCCACGTAGTATCTTCTGATGCTGAAGCGAGATATCGCCCTGAAGGGTGAAACTCGACTCGACATACTCGCTGACCGTGTCCTTCTAGTGTTGCGAGCGGCGTGTCCTTGTTTAAAGACCAAAGGTTTACCTGGCCCTCAGCCCCTCCTGAAGCCAGATTAACCGATTCTGGCGAAACATTACTTTCGGGAAGGGTTGCGCCAGGAAACCACGAGATGCCACTAACTCTGTTGGTATGTCCCCGTAACGTCATCTTCTCCTCCAACGTCGGTATTCCGATCAGCTTGATAGAGCCTCCCCAATTTCCGGCGGCAACAAGCTCGCCATTAGGCGATATTCTCGTCATACTGACATTCCTATCTCCTGCGGTCTGGCTGCCTTGCAATTCGAATGCTTGTAGGCGCTCCTTGATCTCTTTGCGGAATTTGACGTGCGTTCGTAAAGGTATCGATGCTTCTTGTTTTTGAAAAGATAGCCTTTGTTTCGCCCGTGGTAGGGAAAAGCGGGCAATATCTTGCCGCGCTCGTAGCAATTCATCGCTCCCGGTGGTGTAGAATTCCTCTTCTTGGTCTTCCTGGTCCTCTTCTGGCGCATCTTCCATAGCGACATCTGGTGATTCTGTAGGTGCTTGTTCCGCCTGTAGAGTCAAAAGTTCCCTTAATCTGTCTCGTCGGTCTGCTGGACCTTCGCCAAAAAGTGTGATAGGTTCCCCAAGTTCTCGTAGCCTAGCACGTACTCGACCATCATCCGTAGGTACTGCCATTGTTGCTGCTCGCCTCTTCCGCTCAAACTGGGACAATATAGCTGATGCTTTCTCGGGCGCAATGCCGGCGGCTGCCGAGGGAATGTCATAGTCGCGATCTACGGGAACCTCATCTAAGGTCATACCACGATCCTAATGAAGAAAAGATGTTAGCCAAATGAGGACAAGAAAAAGACTTGGGATATGCAAACTTACCTCTTCTGCTTCCTCCACATACGCCTGTCGCGACGGATGCATCATGATGGGCGATACGTCACAGGATGTTGGCCCTGGATCTGATGCGCGTGCCTACTCGAAAACTCGGAACCGTCTTAATGTAATATATTGCTCGATAATCGAAGAGTTTCTGTTCCCTATAGAAAATGTATCCACATGTAAATTGGTAACTTTTTGCTAAGTTCTTCAAAACCGCGTTGAAGGTGAAGATAAAAGTGGAGAAACACGCTATCAGTGGTCAAAGCTCCAATTTTTTAGCTCTGAGCTTTAAGCCGAATCCGTTTGTAGTTTGTACCTAACATTTGTACGTTTGTACTTCGTACATCTCAGACATGGAAGCAAAAGGTCAGAAGACAACCGGGCAGCAGCAGTTGCTTCCCAATTTTAACCACATTCTATTAACTCTTACCCAAGTTTATCCACTTCACAATCTTTAAAGCATCACATTTGGATTCAATAGAGACGCATCCCTTTTCCCAGGGCTGACTTGAAGCGGGTTATTTAATAGGTGATGCCTAGTCTTGCGAATTAAGCAGGGCGATTCGCATACTAGTATTTGCTTACGGTGGTTATTCTTTACGTCGGAAACGTCAATAGCATTCCTAGAACGCTTTGTTTGATCCAATATTGTAGCATTGTTCATCTTTCAGGTCCCCAAAGGCACATGCAGCATACCGATCTATCCTAATGCTACGTTTCAAATAATGCCGACTTTTCCTGCAGGTCCCCTGCTAGAAAACTAGCATGCGCTCTAACACTGTAATATTAAGTACGAGTTTCTATTTGCCCATTCATCTTACGATAAATGCACCAAGCCAGTGTTGCTTCCAATGTCTCTTATATCTTATATTGTCTCAGCGCGCAATATGACAAGTAATTGAAGTATGTACTATTGTATAGCAATACCAAAGCGCTCAACGAAACCTATACACGGTCGTTGTACAAACTATATTAATATTCCGTGTGTTTTTTTATTTTTAGTCATCCCATTGGTTCAAATGTTGTAGCAAAGGTTGCAACGAAAAGCATGGTGCCTGACAAGTCATGACAAGTCAGCTTATAATGGCTAATCGCGGGAACGCGCGACATGGATTAGTGGTAGTAGAGTGGATTAATAGTTGGGGCACCTGAACAGCCTGAAGGAGGGTGCTGGGGGGTCTGGTGTCTGCTTAGCCTGACTATTCCTTTCCTGTCCTTAGCACGGGGCTTTCCAATCTGCACAGCTGAAAATATAAAAGATTTGGTTGGCTTGTGAAAATTTGAGGTCCGCTCGCTACACCCCGCCCGTAAAAAAAAAACTCCATGTTGTAAGCAAGAAGTCGTATAATTTTATTGTCTTAGAGTGGGTGCTGGCCTTATTAACAAACGCCTGCCCTGTTCGGCTTTCCTTTTAACTCTTCAACTTTTCTCAACCACCGCCGTACGGTGAACCCATATTTAACACCAAACAAATCTAAGACGCCTTCGCGCGATTAACTATTCGACTGCCAATGCATCAGCAAACCGATTCCGACAGTTTCTCTTCGTCACTAGTCCGCAGCCAGATGCTCACTCCGACCCTTCAGCCAGCGCATCCCGATTACCTTTGCGAAGCACGCGCTGACGCCGAGCGACGACGTGGCTCCCGCCTACCTTGAATAGGGGCGGGTTGAAAGAGTCACATCGACGGACGACTTCATTTTATTATTACTTAATTACTCAATTAATTAAATATCATCCGGGAAACAAAACATCTTCACCATGTTACCTCCCGCCGTTCCAGCCCTTAGCACCGTTCGCGGGTTCGCGCACACCCCAATAATATCCGGCGACGACGATTCGGATTATTGCCAGACGCCACCTTTGTCTGCGCGACGTGGCCGCACCCCCCGTCTTGATGATGTTGTCAGCGCCAACTGTAGCCCCGTACTTCGTGGTCATAACTCTCCTGCTATCAGCGGCATCGCTAAGCTGCGTATGCAATTGGAGCCCCTTAGTCTAGGCGACTCTCGCTCCAGCTCTATGGTTCGGACTCGAAGCAATAGTCGCCGTCGCTACATGAGTGGAGCCACCAGCCAAATGGGTCGCAGTGACGACGAAATCTCAGAGGGAGGATCAACCAGTTACGAAGTCCAGTTAGAGCATGACTTCGTGAGTGAAAGCGTGCAAGAGAAGAAATATGGTGCGATTGAAGGTGGGCTAGTGCCCCGAAAGATAGAGGCCGACGACTTCGAGACATTGCGTTGTCTTGGAAAGGGCACATACGGGACCGTCTTACTAGTTAAGCAGCGTGCTACAGGCCGGCTTTACGCGCAGAAGCAGTTCAAAAAGGCTTCAGTTGTCGTGCACAAGAAACTTATCGAGCAAACAAAGACAGAAAGGCAAATACTCGAATCCGTCAACAGACACCCCTTCGTTGTCAAGCTATTTTACGCTTTCCAGGATCAAGAAAAGCTATACCTTATCCTCGAGTATGGGCAGGGCGGAGAACTATTTACTCACCTCAATACTGAAAAGATGTTCCCCGAGCCAGTTGCCGCCTTCTACATGGCAGAAATGGTCCTGGCTCTATCTCACCTTCACGATACGCTCGGTGTAGTTTATAGAGATCTAAAGCCAGAAAACTGCCTCTTAGACGCACAAGGTCATCTCCTGCTGACAGACTTTGGCTTGTCCAAGGTAGCGGTGGATGATGATAGCTGTAAGTCTATACTTGGAACAGTCGAATACATGGCTCCGGAGGTTGTCTTGGGTCAGAAATACGGCAAGGCCGTCGATTGGTGGTCGTTTGGTGCGCTGGGTTACGACCTTATGACGGGTAACCCACCTTTCCGCGGCGGCAATCACGCCAAGATTCAGAACAACATCGTCAAGCAGAAGCTTGTCTTGCCGTACTTCCTAGGGCCCGACGCCAAGGATCTATTAACAAGATTTTTAAGGAAAGATCCTGCGAAGCGTCTTGGTTCGAACATGCCCAAAGACCTCCTAGTCATCAAGAAGCATAGGTTCTTCCGGAAGATTGATTGGAAGAAGCTTGCGGCCAGGGAAATAGAGCCACCAATTCAGCCGATGATCACGGACCCTGAGCTCGCGGAGAATTTTGCTCCCGAGTTCACCGAGTTGCCTCTAAGCCCTATCTTGGCCAAGTGTCCTTTGGATGATATACCACTAAAGGATAGCTTAAAGGAAGATCCCTTTGGCGGATTCAGCTATGTAGCTTCCAGCAGCCTGCTAGATGATCATGCGTTTATGTTTGCCCAAGCGTAAGCATTCTCAGCAAGACGCATAACTTCGAGTGCAAACAGAACGGGGGGCGTTATAGAAGAGATTGCGATTTGAAGCCAGCTTGTATGCTGCTTGACTAACAGAAAGAATAGAGGGGATGAGTTTTGAAGGCGAGGGTTTAGCATCACAGTTTTAGACAGGTGGTTAACAAATTCGAAGTGGGAATGGCGTTCAGGAGGCCTCAATTAGACGACAACAATTGATCCTTGTTTGCTTACCATTGGTGACAGGGTCTACGTGATGATACAACTAACGAGGGTATTGCTACGACAGGAAAAACAACTATTGCAAATTAACATATTCGTATCAAAATGAAGGCCATGTCTGATACTTTCTTACATTGTGTACTAACACCGTTTAATATAGGTTAGTAACCGAAAACGACCAATTCATTTAAGAGTCATTTAAGAGATACGCAAGCGCACAGCTCCGAATACGACACCGCTAAAGTCTGTAGTGAATCAAACCGCCTTCACGTCGCCCAAATATATGATTTGAAAGGTTGAACAAACTGGGTTACACCTATAGCATCCTCAGTCATACTAATAAAAGACTGTCTATTACCACGGTCTAGGTGGAGGTGAGTATTGTGTAAAAAGGTAGATAGAAATTAATTACAACACACGAACTTGCAAAGCACACACCATCAATCTTGCCAATAAATGTAAGCAGGGCATATGTTAGGTAGATTAGCTTTAAGGTCTATAGATGAGCCCAAGCCGACTTGACCGACTACAGTACTCAACTCAAACGTGCCCCAACGTCGTTTGTCTATTCATAAGCACATCTTATCCAATAGTTATATCGGTAAGTTGCTGACGCGGTCACTTCTAAAAATCATTAGTTAACTTGGCAGAATAAGATATCTTATATCAGCTAAGAATCCCCCAGGTCTTGGCTGGCGAGGTTGCATGCAATCACTATGGTACCACGTCCACGGCTAGGGGCTAGGGGCTATAGATGGTTATATGCTGTGTCTTGTTTAACATGTGGGAAATACTTTCTTCTTACACGAAGCTATCTGGGTACATAAAATCATATCTCGTATCATATAAATTAGCCATCGCTTTAGCCAAGCATTGTTTAGTTTATAGTTTGACAATACATTTGCCCAGCCGGAGCATCTGATTCGACATGTGTATTTCCCTGCTCTAACATGAATACACTCACTATTGGTTAGGTAGTTATGGGAAAAGCAATCCTATAGTTATTATATAAACAGCTTAAGAACAATTCGGGATTATAACCAAATGACGAGGAAATAAGTCCTTAAGACAACAACCTCCCTTATCAAGTCAAGGTAGGAATAAGATCTACTAAATGCTGTGCACCGCTGACGAAACTAGAAATTCTACTAAGTTTCGCCAGCCAAATATAAAGCCAAGTGTAATGGAAACAAGTGTAAATCAAGCCTAAACCAAGCCTAAACCAAGCTGCTTACAATCCCCAGAACTGGGCACCCCTGACATCCTCTCCCCCCACTCCACCGCGTGATTCGACGCCGTCCTAAACGGATTGGCGAATCATCACGTCCGCAATTCTAATAACGGCGACGTTGGGTTGCGTCCGGTTCCCCATCTGCCGGAAACCCTACCGTGCCTAAGGGCACTTAAACGTAACTTACATACAAGACCGAATCCGCCAAGTTGCACTGCCTCCGAAACAAGTCACTACGCATTCGGGTCTTCCAGATTCCGGGGTTTTGTAAGGACGCTGTCGTCAGCGACGTCAATTCGTGCCCTCCAAGTTCGAATCTCAGAACATGGCTGCTTCATCGGGGGCCTGGGGGCCCAGCAGGGGTCGTTTGGCATATGATCTACAACGTGACAAAATAGATCGGCCGTCCTGGCGGCAGGCATGAATGAATGAATGTGTGCGCATAGCCTACCCACCGTTTCTGTCTAGGACGAAACGAGGCCGTTTAGGGCTCTCGGATGGCATACGTAGGCGCAGGGGCTTGGTTCTCTTAGCCCAAGACGATGGCTGGCCGACGCCAGAAAGTCTCACGCCGTTTGAATCGTGAATATATACCAAGCCGCCAAGGATAATGCGCATACATATACCTATGTACGTATCCATGGTACAGTAAGGTTGGTCCAATGTAGGTATGAGCTTGGAGGTAGGCCTAAGATCACAGCAAACAAGGTACTGCAATGTATTATTTGCAATGTACCTATGATTTACATCTTCTGTAAGATCTTCCTTCTCAGTTACGATTCCCACGCGCATATACCAAGAAAGTCAAGAGCTAGTTACATGTATTCATTCACTTGGGTCTATACATGTAGGTATATATTCTGCGTACCTCCTCTTCTGTTCACATGTATTAGAAGACCACACCTACCTCACATGCCCGAATTGATATCTCAGGCTCGAGGACCCGGCGAATTTAACTTCGGTAAAGCACAACCCCCAAAACGTTAACATACGACAAGGACTCGAGGCCGAGGGCCGCATAGGGAGTCGGCGCACAAGCCGGTTACACCATTTAGCTGTTTGAAGGGAGCTTAAAAGCGAGGACGTGAGAGAGGGTCTCTCTGGATATATCAGTCGAACTCAGACCCTGGAAACGAATCGAGACATAATTCTAAAAGGTGAGCGTTGGAATCCGTGCATTCACACACCTCTATTCCTAGAGCTATCATATTGCAAAACGCGAATTTGCCGCAAGGCTAAATCTCTCGATAGGCCTAATACCGATTATACTAATTATACTAATTATACGACGATACATAGAGGATATTCTTTTTAGGATGGCGCGAACATCGTTTTTTACTATTGCGGCGTTGTGTAAGTCAATGGCCACTAGCAACTCCAACAACATTCGCCTTCTTTAATAGTCCTGCATTGAAAAAGCTCTTTAATCATAATAATGGCGTACTGGAAACGATGTAGTCATTAACATATTTTACTTTTCCTAGATGCATTCGTATACGCTGTCCTCGTATCCTCCGCACCGGTGCAATACTGCCCAATTTCGGATGTATGCTACCAAGTCGCAGTACCAGAGGTTTCCGCCGCCAAGGATGGGGGCAATATATACCTGCAGCTACGAGCGCCGATATCATACTCGTGGGTAGCCTTCGGTACAGGAGATGCCATGAGGGATTCGAGCATCTTCGTGATGTATCAAGACGGTAACGGTAACGTGACGATATCAGCACGCACTGGAACTGGACATACCAGTACGTAAAACCGAGCCTTACATTCATTCTATCCTCATCTACTCCTTTTTAGTCCATCTTGGGACTCGGCCAAAATGCATCGACTAGTTAGCCAAAATCTATTACTCAGAATATACCTACCCCCTTAATGCAGTAATTACTAACACTTATCAATCACAGTGCCACGGTACAACTCAATTGTACAGTTAGAACTTCTTGATGGAAGTGGCCTCTTGAATAGCGAGCAGACGATGGTCGCCAACGTCAGATGCGGTAACTGCGGCACATGGCCGGGGGGCTTTATGAGTCTAGACGACAACGCGGCGCCGTGGATTGCGGCATGGAAGACAGGCGACGCCATCAACAGCGCGGACCCGGACGCCCAGATTCAGTACCACGACGCGCACGACACGTGGGCGTTCGACCTGACGACAGCTACCGTGACCGACGATGCGAATCCGTTCGTGGACGCACAACAATTCGACAATAACAACCGTGGGGTGGGCAGCGGCAGCTTCGCCGACCCACGCATCTTGATCCTAAGCCACGGCATCATCATGGCCGTCGTCATGATCGTCCTGTACCCGTTGGGTTCGGCGCTCATGCCCGTGTTCGGCAAGTGGGCAATTCACGCCGCGTGGCAGCTCTTTGCCTTCCTGATAATGTGGGCTGGCTTCGGGCTAGGTATCGTCGCCTTGCAGCGCATTCAACTTGTAAGTCCTGTCGAAACATACATGTCCACCAGAGCGAAAGGAGGAAAGTTGATCACAGCTAATTCTCCTAACAGGACTACAATTCTACACATACGATCCTCGGCACGGTCGTGGTCGGCCTATTAGGGTTCCAACCGATGCTGGGCTGGTTCCATCATAAGTACTTTATGAAAAACCAGACCCGAGGTCTCGTATCGCACGCTCATATCTGGTACGGCCGCGCGCTGATAATCGCGGGCATAGTAAACGGCGGGCTTGGTTTGGAGCTTGCAGGTGCCTCTAGAACCTTCATGGTGGTGTACACTGTCTTCGCTGTCCTGATATTCATCTTATACGTTGGTGCTGCTTTGTTTGGCGAGTGGCGCCGCCGCCGACACGGAGGTTATGAGCAGAAGAATTCCTGATTTGTCTCTAACTGGTAAGGGAGATTATCGGGAGTATTTACATACCTACTTGGGTATTTCATTATAGCGCTTTGGTCAGCCTGGCTTTGATACGGGATGGGTTTATGAGGTTAGATTAGGTATGGTATATGGTGTGTGTGTAAGAGAACAAACACTATAACAGCGACCAGTTACAATGACGGAGAGTGCTTGTTAAACTGGATTGATACGATTTATGTTATTTAATACGATATAAGTAATGACGCTTTCGCATAAGATTGAGTTATCACCACTGTTAGAGTAAAAAAAGAATTGAAGAAATATATTCGAGATACTTGAGCTGTTGAGTTATTTGAATTGAAAACTTAGGTACCTATTATTATGTAAGTCTATTATGTAAGTCTATTATGTAAGTCGTAGTGGGATGTAGTACATAGGTACCTCCTAGGTTAGTACCTATTCCGTAGAATGAAATATTGATAGGTAGATTGAATCACGTGATTGACCAATCGGAAGCTCTGATACTCCACCTTTAGCCACTTCGGCGCTAAGAATTGAAGGATGAAATGCAGCGGCGAAGGAAAAACCTCAATCGCAACTCTCTCCACGATCCCCGTCTTCCCGTCCTGCACCACCATCATACCACCATCACCACCACCACCACTCACATAGCGTCAATTGAGCAATCCCCATAACAGACGGACATCATGCTCGTGCAATTAAGGGCTTCGGTAAGTACCTATCTTACCTATCTTACCTATTTTACCCATCCTAATTTTTAATATTCGTAATCATATCGTCATTGAGGAGCTATTCGCTAACTTGGTCTTTTTTTTCTTAACGCTCAGACTGCTCGGTCGGCCGCTTCGGCTATCACCCGCGTGGCGAGGGTAAACGCCGTTAGAGGATTCATCGCCCCTACCGTTTCGCGACGAGGTAAGACTCGAATGTTCATTTATCGTATACCAAGTGGGATTCCAGAGACAATTGAGAAGTAATGCGCTATGCTGGGATACGACCGGGACCGGAATAATAGAATTGGAGACGTGCGGCGAGATGAGATATTATTATTGTTATCCAGTTGAACAGCTCGCACCCTCACCAACTCGACATGCGGTTGCGATATATCTGAGCAGCATGGAGCTAAAGGATATCTCGTATCTACTTTAGTAAGATCCTATACTAACATAAGTTCGCAGCCGACTTCGTACAGGAGCTCTACCTCAAGGAACTCAAGGCCTACAAGGCACCCCCCGTCAAGGACTCTGACTCGGTCGGTCAGGTCCAGACCTTCACAGTACCTAAGACCCCCAAGTCGCCCGAGGAGGCCGACCTAGCCAGCAGCTTGAAGGAGTACGAGAGCATGGCCGTCGAGGTCGAAGGCAACGAGGGTGCCGCTGCCAACTCGTCGACACCCGCCGTCGTCGAAGACTGGCTGGTCGACGAGGAAGAAGAGGAGGGCGCTGCTGCTCACCATTAGATTCGTACTAAGAGACTTAATTACCTAGGCGGGAGGAGAGGCTGAGCCGAGAGGAAAAAACTATACCGGGAGGACGAGAGAGAAATAGGGGAGAACAAGCGAGACATATACACATACACCAGTGTTATGTTAGGTCGTTAGAGGTGGTAGAGAAGAGAGATCCCTAACGTCCATGTACATTTATTCTTAGGATCGCTAGTGCCAAATCACAAATAGATCCTTCGTCACTGAAGAGCTTACACTTATTATGCTATCCTTTTGCAGTAAATATGTATACGTGTAGGGTCAAGGTAGACTTGACTGTCGTCTCTACCGTCCTTAGGTTCCATCATATTCATATACCCCTATTCAAGCGAGTCTCGTACTTGATGTTAAATCTATGGCTCGCTCTTGAGCCTTACTAGAGACAGCTTTGATAAACACTCCATTAAACGAGCGTCATCTCGTTTGTGTCTTATGTTTAGTCTTCGTCAGTTATCCGGGAATACCTTGACGATTCATGAATATTCCCTAATATTGGATTTATAGAATAAAAGTCTAGTACAGGTCTATCACACCCTGAATTGGTTTACACACACCCCTGTCTCCTTGGTGTCTAGACTATCCTTCACCCACCCCTAAGAAGATATGTAGTTAGGTGTTGTGAGAGCGGATGGAGCACTTCACAGGTAACCTAGATCATCGATTACAGATTATAGCTATATATAGGTACGTAGGTACGCATTCATCTGTTTACCTGGTCTAGTTAGAACAAGACCAAGTAGAGGATCGTTAGTTTATCGTCTGCTATATCTTGATGAGGATACTTCTCCAAAGTAGTTTCTTTCTAGTGTTAGTGCCCTACGCCATCCCACCAGCAAGCATCTCCTTTGATCGACGAGTCAACAGCGAAGCTAGCAACAACCCCCAAGCAAGCCTTTCTCTCTCTCTCTCTCTCTCTCTATACGACCCCCAGACGGCAAGCCCGAATACCTAGCCGCTTCCACGACGGACCAGGGAGGCAAAAAGGAAGAGAACCAAACCCCAATCCAACAAAAGAAAGAAAAAAGAGACGTACAACACCAGGGATTTGCCGGTCGTCACTGACCCAACTACTTACGAGTCTGGCGGTATCCAGCTTGTCAAGAAAGGGGAGAGCGGACGGGATCCCGAATGTTCCGAATCCTGTGGTCGTACGTGACGTTTTCTAGCGCTGCCCGTGTTTACATACCCTCCTCTCCTATTCGACATTTCTATCCACCCCTCCCCTCCCCCTTTCCCCCTTCTCAACGTTAATCCCCCTTACTTCATCATGACAAGTTCTGTAGACAGCGTTACATGTCAGCTGCGTACGTTTAAATCCGCGAAAGAAAGGGTATAGACAAGTGCCCAGACGACATCACGATTAGCTTATATACATACATACATACATACATACATACATACATTAGGTACATACATACTACACCCCTCACCTCACCCCCTTCGCCAAAGTCGTGCTACCCATATTGTGTTTCCCTGGATAAAGAGCTTTTTTCCTTACAGACGCAACATGACGTAAAACTCGGCTTGCATACTTTACTTCTAGTTCGTACGCTTGTATCTTTTCACACCTAAAAAAAAGGCCCATCTTTGATTTGACCCTACCTTAGGTAGTTAGGTTAATATCTTGTCTCAGTGGGAAGAGGGGGAAATGAAATCATGACTGGATATATGTAGAAAAGGAGGGGAGGACATGGGGATTTAACGGAGACTTGTCAGACTCGTCCTACATAGAGCTACATGGTTTACAATATTATACGTATCTGAACATAACGGCTTGTGTAGGCTGAGATGAGATGAGCATTCCCTCTACATTACAACGTACGGTCCTTGCGTTTACTAAGAATAATGGGCAAAATCACGTCGCAACTTGAATTAATTATCAGCAACCTAGGTAGTTTTAATTGACTTTTGCTCTCTTCCTCCTCGTTGGGAGTAAGCCTTTCAAATTAGTACGCTATGTACTCGTGTGCGTTATCTGCATTCCAGCCCTGCTTACATGCCTCTCAGGCTCATCATTAGAACCCGCAAAGGGGCAGCAAACAGCAAGAACTCGATTTAAATCAAACGCCCACACAACTCGCTCGCTTCGGCAAAAGCATCGTTAGCATACTAGTAGCCACCTGTCATACCGAGCAATCAAGCAAGAACTACCAATTCCTTCTGCATTCGAGATTGTAATGAGTACTTGGCCTAAGTGCCCAGTTGCTCAACAATAGCAGACGCTTCACTATCAACCCTATAGCCGGCATCCAAGCCTGCAAAAATTCCAAACTGATGTGACAAAGGAGTAGGATCATAGCGATCTGTACTGGTCCGTCGTGACCTGAATAGGTGATTTTGGTTAGGTATTTCCGAAACTATCCCGCGATTTCGTGTACGTATGTGCCATGATTCCAGACTATTTGCAAATGCCAAACGCCCTACCGCTCCGTAGTGACTAAGTAACCTCTGCCAACCGCCGCCTCATGCAGAATGCCGCCCTATGCATGATGCCATGGAGAGAATTTTAAGAGTAATGGACGAATCCGCTCTAGATGCCAAGGACGAACGGATGGTGTCATCCTCGTGTCGAAGGAATCCAGTTAAAAAAAAAAAAAAAAAAAAGCAAAAAGAAAAGTCCGTGTCATATGTCGAAGTGGGATTCACCAAACGGTTCATCGTTATTGCCCGTCTTAACGATTCCACTCATCCTATTTGATTTTCGGAGATCAATGTCGTCAAGGTCGTCCCAGTCGTTATCCCGACGATCTACGTCATCCATGTCCTCGTCGACATACCTTCCTTTCATATGATCATCAAGTGAGCTCTCGTCGACAAACGTGAAGCCTTGGAAATTTGCTTGCGTGGTCGGAGAAAGGGGAGTTGACGTGGCAAAGCCCGTGGCTAACTGCTGTGCACGTTCGTTCAATGATCCGTTCGTGTTCAATGCATTTGTGAACTCCGGGTCAAAGTAAGAGACATCAGTCTCAGACTTCAACTTAGGCTTGAAAGGCGGGGTTATGAGTTTCTTGGCCAAGATATCCCAGTCCACGTCGGCAAAGAACGGATGGCGCTTCAATTCTTCTGCGTCATCAATGGCACCTAGTCGATGTTTCGGGTTCCTGTTAAGTAAGCCCTTCACAAAGTTTCTGCCTTCCTGCGAAAGTGTGTCTCGCGGAAATCGTACTTTGCCAAATGCGATGTTCTTGTACATCTGCTGCGTATCTTCCGCGTAGAAGGGACTCCATCCGCAGCACATTTCGAACACCAGGACACCGAGGGACCAAAAGTCCACCATCTTCGTGTATCCAGCTTCATCCAGTAAAACCTCCGGGGCCAGGTACTCGGTAGTTCCGCAAAACGTGTTGGTGGTGTCGTTTTGAGTTAGGTTTGCTTTGGACAAACCAAAGTCGCACAAGGCTATGTGGCCATTCGCGTCGAGTAGGATATTCTCGGGCTTCAAGTCGCGGTAAACTATATCGTTATTATGAAGATGTTGGATAGCGAGAATGAGTTCCGCAATGTAAAATTTAGCTCG